GCAGGTATCTGGTTTGTTTGGGTTCTATAATCGAAACACTGTTTCAACTCCAGCTCTGAGATCCCGGCTGGCTGAAAGCAGGTTTCTGGGGTTTTGTTTAGCTTCTATATTTGTAACAGTGTTTCAAACTGCAAGCTCAGAGGCCGGCAGCGTCAGGTGGGGTACGTTGGAGTCCTCCGTCACTGAAGCAAGCAAGCCTCCTGTTAGCGTCAAGCTGCCTGGCTCCCGGCCGCCATCTTGGCTGGCAGTTAATTTGCATATCACCCTGATTAGCCAATGGGAAGGGTAGCGGAGGTACGGCTGATTAATTACCATGTCTTTTATTAGATAGGATGTTTTCACTTTTTATTTCGGATTTCTTAAACATTTTATTTCTCTGCACTCCTGTCCCCAACCCCACCCTTGACATTTTAATTTCCTGAAAATCCCTTGGTTGTACTTCCTCTCTCTCCCTTACTATTTGTTACATTAGGGGCTCTGAACATGGACTTTAAATTACGCAGCCATCAGCAGAGGAGACATTTTTTAAGTGTAGGGTCTTTTTCTTAATATTACATGGGAATGGTTGGGATTTTGTCTTAGTGAAAGAAGCTCTAATAAGTTTGACTGCAACCCAGTAATGCTTTCAATCAGCAAAACTAATTTAGACAGTCTAGCTGAATTAGCCACTAAAAATGATAAATTTGCTAATGATAAACTGTCTTCCGTTTAGGGGCTTTCGAGGACACTTCATTTGCTTCTCTCTCTAATCTTGTCAATGAGAACACTCTGCGGGCAATAAGAGAAATGGGCTTTACAAACATGACCGAAATCCAGCATAAAAGTGTCAGACCACTCCTGGAGGGCAGGTATGATTAACATGGACGCTTGGCCATTAGTATCTGTTCGTAGTGCTAGTTGTTTGCCCAGGAAAGTTTATGCCCAGGAACTACCAGTGTGTTCTTTGATGTGTATTGTGTTGGTTTACATATCCAGCCTGCATTAAAGGCTTTAAATTACATCCTGGTGTTGGAAGAAAAGTGTTCACTTCTGTTTCCTGGCACGATTCTTACTTCTGAGATAGGTGTTTTACTCAGATGGTTGAATTCAGTGATAGAGAAAGGAGGAACTTGTCTTTCTCAATCCTGTTCTAGCCTTGGAGCCTAAAACACCTGTGATTGTGCGTGCTGGCTGCTCAGTAAGTACTTGGTGAATGAATATACTGAGTGTCTCTCCTCCTTTCCCTTTTTAACATTTAGGGATCTTCTGGCAGCTGCAAAAACTGGCAGTGGCAAAACCCTGGCCTTTCTCATCCCTGCAGTTGAACTCATTGTTAAGTTAAAGTTCATGCCCAGGAATGGTAAGCCTTTGATCTGGTTGTTTCTTCCATTGTCTCGCTAGAAGTTCATTTCGGCTTTTATGAACTCGTGGTGATAATTAGTTTGACTTTTTCCATATTCATTTTTTTGCCTTTTAGGAACAGGAGTTCTTATTCTCTCCCCTACTAGGGAACTGGCCATGCAGACTTTCGGTGTTCTTAAAGAGCTGATGACACACCACGTTCACACATACGGGTTGATAATGGGCGGCAGCAACAGGTCTGCTGAGGCACAGAAGCTTGCTAATGGGATCAACATCATTGTGGCCACACCAGGCCGTCTCCTGGACCATATGCAGGTGAGAGAACACTTGTGTAGTACTGTCCCATGTCTTGTGTCAGACAAACTTTACAACTAACAGTGTTTCTTTGTCTTGTTAGAATACTCCAGGGTTTATGTATAAAAACCTGCAGTGTCTGGTTATTGATGAGGCTGATCGTATCTTGGATGTTGGGTTTGAAGAGGAGTTAAAGCAAATTATTAAACTTCTGCCAAGTAAGTGGGTAGTATCTGTATGTAGTTTGCAAAGTGGTTGTTAGAAGCAGTGAGAGTTGTTTCTATATCAAAACTATTAATACCAGAATTGTAACACGTTGCGGACAGATCACGAGAATTTTCGCTTCATATTACACAGTGTTTTACGAAGTATCATACTTTAAAAAGATATTGGTTTATAAGAACATGTAATAAATAACTTCAAAATGCAATGGGTATTTAATTTGAAAGCGTGCCTTTAACATTCATGTAAAACGTTTTTTGTACTCGTTCAATAGAAACTTATCTGGCTACTGGGTAAAGCTAGCAATAAATTTACTGGTCCCACCTTGGCTGGTTTGGCTCGGTGGTTAGAGTGTCAGCCTGCGGACCTGGGGGTCCTGGGTTCGATTCCAGTCAAGGGTACATGCCCAGGTTGCAGGCTCGATCCCCAGTGGGGGGCACCAGGAGGCAGCTGATGAGTGATTCTCTCCCATCATTGATGTTTCTATCTCTCCCTCTCGCTTCCTCTCTGAAATCAAAAATATATTTAAAAAAAAAGAAACTACTGGTCCACAATGTATTAATATAGCCAAGTGAAGTCGCTATGCCAATTAACCTTAGAGGCAGTTTGCAATATAAACATCAAACGTATTAGTAACTTAATACAGTGGTTTTGCCAAGTTAGAGGTTTAATGCAAGTTAAACAGCCCAAACATATGTCTCATTCCCACCCACCCCCACCACCCCTCTTACCTCCATCTGGCACCTCCCAGGTAGCCGTAGACTTGCTTTCTGTGTGATGTTTGAGTTGTACATAGCTTGGTTATAGTACTTGTAACATTATAAACTGCTTACATCTGTAATAAGGCCATGATTCCATTCATTATACGATTTGTTTTTTAATGTTTTACTGGGATGTAATTGACATGACCTATACATATTTTAAATACTCAGTTTGCTAAATGTTCACATTCCACCCATTAAACCATTGTCACATCAATATAGTAAACATCTCCATAACCCTCTAAAGTGCGTTCATGCACCTTTGTACTCCCTCTCAGCCTCTGTAGGAGCAACCCTCGCCTACTACCAACTACCAACAGCCGCTCACACACATCTCCCAGGCAACTATTGATCTGCCTTTTGTCACTGTAGATGTGTCTGTATTTTCTAGAGATTTATGAAGTTGCTACAAGCATTCATCTACAACTTTTTTATGGGCACATATTTTCTTTCCCTTGGGTAACTACTGAGGAGTGGAGTGACTAGTTATTTAACTTGTACCATTTTACATATCCTTCAGCAGCGTACAGAAGTTCCAGTTCTACCTATTAAGTCTTAGGATGAACTTCAAACAGTTCTTTTCAAAATTGTTCTGGCTGTTCTCCTTTGCATTTCTGTATAAATGTTAGAAGCAGTTCGTCAGTTTCTACTCCCTAAAAATACCTGGTTGGTTGGGATTTTATTGAATACTAGAGGCCCAGTGCACAAAATTCGTGCATGGGTAGGGTCCCTAGCAGCTGCCAGCCAGGGCCTCTCTTCCTCTGGCCGCCTGCCGCCCCTGCCATGTTCCGCGCCGCCCCCAGTGGTCAGTGTACATCTAACTCCTGTTTGGTCAAACTCCCGCCTATGGGGACAGTTTGCATATTAGCCTTTTATTACATAGGATAGAGCATTGGTGAAAAAGGCAATATTGAGTCAGTTCAACCTATGAATAAGATATATCTCCATTTATTAGCTCCTTAATTTCTAAGTACTTCATTAAAATTTCTATTTCAAATTGTTTATTGTATGTACATATACGGTTGATTTTTGTATATCCATTTTATGTCTGGCAAGTAATTATTTCTATGTTCGTCTGGATTGTTCAGCATGAACCTTCAGATGAAACTAGCCTGGATTTCCCGCATGGGCAGACATGTCAGCTACAAATAAAAAAAGTAAATTCTTCACTTAATGTTTTTCTTGCCTGATTGCACTGGCGAGAACCTCAGAATAGAAGTAGTGAGACGAGATCTTTGTCTTGTTCCTGAGGTTAGTGGGAAAGCATTCAGTCTCCCGCCATGAAGTATGTTAGCTGTAGGTTTTTGTAAATGCCCCTTATCAGATTGAGGAGGACCCCTTTTGTTCCTCGTTTGCTTAGATTTTTTAAAATCAGAAATAGATGGTAAATTTTGTCAAAAGCTTTTTCTGTATCTGTTGAAATGATCAGATTTTTTCCTTTACTCTGTTAATATGGTATATTGTATTGGTTAATTTCCCAATGTTAAAGCAACCAGCTCTGCATTCACGGAATAAACCCTACTTAGCCATGCCTTGTCCTTTTTCATATATTGCTGGATTCACTTGACTAAAGTTTTGTTTAGAAATTTTGCATTTCTGCTCATGAGTCGTTGGGTTTGGATGTTGGGGTAATGGCTGGCTTCAAGGAATAAGCTGGGAAGTAAATTCCCAGTGTCCTGGAGAGTGAGTGAAGAATCAGTAATATTTCTTCCATAAAAGTCTGCTAGAACTCACCACTGGAGACGTTAGGGCTGTAGTTTTCTTTACATGAAGATTTTAAGTACAATTTTTTTAATAGGTACAGGCTAGTTAAGTTTTCTATTTCTTCTTGAATGAGCTTTAGCAGTTTGTCTTTCAATCAAGGAAATTGTCCATTTCATCTAAGTTGTCAAATTTATGAACATAAAGTTGTTTGTGATATTCCCTCAATCTCTGTAGTGTTACCACATCCCCCATTCCTGACAGTCCTACTTAGGAGCATTTGTAGTTGTGAAGCAGTTCTACGGATTCCCTGAAAGGTTCGGATTATTCTTACGTGTATGTGTTTCAGCACGCAGGCAGACCATGCTCTTTTCTGCCACCCAAACTCGAAGAGTTGAGGACCTGGCGAGGATTTCTCTGAAAAAGGAGCCATTGTATGTTGGTGTCGATGATGATAAAACTAATGCAACAGTGGATGGTCTTGAGCAGGTATTATTGTCAATACCTTACATGTTAATGAATGTGGGTACGTGTGTTTCCTTGTAATTGTTTGGAGTATCCTCCAGAAAGCTGTGGGTTATTGAATTTTTAATTCAAATATAGTGAACTTGGGTATTGGATCGCTGGCTCTTCTAGCATAACGTAACCTGAACTCTGAATAATTTAATTAGCTCTCTTTACTATCTCTTAATCCCACTTACCACTTAGGAAGCGTCATTAACCACTATTTAAAAATGTTGTTTAGGGATCTTGCTCTGAGTTAGAAGGTGGAAAGACTGGTTTCAGGCACATAGCTGTGGAAAATTGGAAATGAGGTGACAGAGATCCAAACTAGGTTGATTAAAAATAGGACTTGAAGCCCTAGCCAGTTTGGCTCAGTGGATAGAGCGTCAGGCTATGGACTAAATGGTCCCAGATTCAATTCTGGTCAAGGGCACATGTCCAGTTTGTGGGCTCGATCCCCAGTACAGGGCGTGCAGGAGGCAGCCGATCAATGATTCTCGTCATTGATGTTTCTCTCTCCCTCTCCCTCTAGGAAATCAATAAAAAAATACTTTAAAAAATTGGACTTGAAGATCGAGTCTTTGGTGAATAAAATATTTTCTGTAACAGTTCAGCTTAGAAACCTTTCATTGGTGTTTTGTTTTTTAAATATATTCACCCATCTTTGTGCTCTTGTTTTGGACTATCTATGTAAGCTGTGATTATTTGAGATGTTGCTATTAAAGAGTTTTCAAAAATGAATCATTGATATATCTTGAGAGTTCCAGTTAGTTGAGATATTAATATATTATGGTTGCAAGAACTGTTGATAACCAGTAATCTCAGAAATAATGAAAAGAATTCAGTGTCCAATGGTTACAGCTTGTTAAAGGAATCTAAAGAGCTTAAATTTGTCTTATTGTAGGGATGCTGTGTTATGATGGCAGGAATTTTACTGTAGGGAAAGCACAACAGTGTGGGGGCAGTGTCTTCATCATATTGGCTCATGCAGCTGCAAATGTCCGCTTGGTTATTTTGTGTCTGTTCATTTGAACTACTTCTAGGGATATGTTGTTTGTCCTTCCGAGAAAAGATTCCTCCTGCTCTTCACATTCCTTAAGAAGAACCGGAAGAAGAAACTCATGGTCTTCTTCTCATCTTGTATGTCCGTGAAATACCACTATGAGTTGCTGAACTACATTGATTTGCCTGTCTTGGCCATTCATGTGAGTGATGGTGAGAAATTCATTAAAAATCAGGTTGTGCTGCCCTAGCCAGTTTGGCTCAGAGCATCAGCCTGGGGACCGAAGGGTCCCAGGTTCAATTCCAGTCAAGAGCACGTACCTCGGTTGCAGGCTCCTCCCCAGCCAGGCCTTAGTCGGGGTTAGTGCAGGAGACAACCAATCGATGTGTTTCTCTCACATCAATGTTTCTCTCTGTCTTTCCCTCTGTCTTCCACTCTAAAAATCAGTGGGAAAATATCCTTGGTTGAGGATTAACAACAACAACCAAAAAAAACCAGGTTGTGCTTATCAAGGTGTATAAACTGTGGGGTTTGAGGTCTGACTCCCCAGGTCAGTCAACATTGGTGAGTGGTCCTCTGTGGAGGGGGATTTGCTGGGTTTTGAGGAATGAGAACCACAAGGAATAAGAGACACCATCTACTTGGAAAACAGGACACAGGCCAGGGAGTGAACTTGAAGTAAAGCAGGTTCACAGCTCCACAGTTTGGGGTTCTACATCTGGACCTCCCAACAGCTTCATGTTTCCAGCTCTAACGGATGTTTTTATTTGATTCTAGGGAAGGCAGAAGCAAAATAAGCGTACAACCACATTCTTCCAGTTCTGCAACGCGGATACGGGGATATTGTTGTGCACGGACGTGGCAGCTAGAGGGCTGGACATTCCCGAAGTCGACTGGATTGTTCAGTATGACCCTCCAGATGACCCCAAGGTAAGTGGCATCCTCGGGTGTCTCAGGGTAGCAGTACATTGAAGAGCGCACTTGTTCTCCTGGTTCCCTGAGAAATACTGCATTTCAGAGTCAGAGGTCTATTCCTTAGTTATGCAAGTC